TGAACTCACCTAATTGTACTCACCTAATTTTGATGGCAGGGGTCGATACTCAGCTCCTGGCCCCACCTCTTCACTGACCGCTACTGGGTCCTCCCTCTCCCTCCTCCACGAGCTTTATCATACCTCTTCTTAAAACTATGTATGGATCCTGCCTCCACTACATCGCTTGCCAGACTATTCCACTTCCTAATAACTCTGTGGCTGAAGAAATACTTCCTAACATCCCTGTGACTCATCTGATTCTTCACTTCCAATTGGACCCCTTGTTTCTATGTCCCATCTCTGGAACATCCTGTCTCTGTCCACCTTGTCTATTCCACGCAGTATTTTGTATATCGTTATCATGTCTCTCCTAACCCTCCTGTCCTCCAGTGTCGTCAGACCGATTTCCCTTAACAATTCTTCGTAGGACATTCCCCTTAGCTCTTGAACCAGCCTTGTTGCAAACTTTTGCACTTTCTCTAATTTCTTGACGTGTTTGACCAGGTGTGGGCTCCAAACTTGTGCTGCGTACTCCAGTATGGGCCTGACGTACACAGTGTATAAAGTCTTGAACGATTACTTACTGAGGTACCGGAACGCTATTCTCAGGTTTGCCAGGACCCCATATGCCGCAGCAGTTATCTGGTTAATGTGCTTCTGGCGACGTACTCGGTATTATACTCACTCCTAGATCTTTCTCCTTGAGTGAAGTTTGCAGTCTTTGGCCGCATGGCCTATACTCTGTGGCCTTCTTTGCCCTTCTCCGATCTTCATGACTTTGCATTTAACGGGGTTAAAGTCTAGGCGCCAGTTGCTGGACAACGCATCCAGTCTGTCCAGGTCTCTTTGTAGACCTGTCTGGTCTGCATCTGATTTAATTCTCCTCATTAACTTCACATCATCCGCAAACAGAGACACTTCTGGGTCTATCCCTTCCGTCATGTCGTTCACATACCAAGAATAGGACTGGTCCCAGGACTGACCCCTGTGGGACCCCGATAATCACAGGCGCCCACTCTGATACCTCATCACGGACCATTACTCGCTGTTGCCTCCCTGTTAGGTATTCTCTGATCCATTGAAGTGCCCTTCCTGTTATATGTGCCTGATCCTCTAGCTTCTATACTAATCTCTTGTGAGGGGCTGTGTCGAAGGCCTTCTTGCAGTCCAAGAAAATGCAATCACACCACCCCTCCCTCTCATTTCTTACATCAATTACCTTGTCATTAAACTCTAGTAGGTTTGTGATGCAGGATTTGCCTTCCATGATTCCGTGCTGGATGTCGTTTATAATCTTGTTCCGCTCCAGGTGTTCCACCACTCTCCTCCTGATAATCTTCTCCATGACTTTGCATACTATACATGTCAGTGACACTGGTCTATAGTTTAGTGCTTCATTTCTGTCTCCTTTCTTAAAGATGGGGACTACATTTGCCATCTTCCATACTTCAGGTAGTTGCCCAGTTTCAAGGGAAGTGTTGAAGATTTTGGTTAGTGACACACACAGTGTCTCTGCTCCCTCTCTAAAGACCCACGGAGAGATGTCCGGTCCTGCCGCCTTTGAGGTATCAAGGTCACTTAGGAGCTTCTTCACCTCCTCCTCAGTTGTGTGTAATTCATCCAACAGGTGTTGGTATATCCCTTATTGGTGTACCCCACTGTGTGTGTGTGTGTGTGTGTGTGTGTGTGTGTGTGTGTGTGCATTTATTGTGCATGGAAGCACTATCATTCACATGTATAAGTCTTGTCTTTTCTTCAGGAAGTAGCAATGATGGTGGACCTATGTGGGCGTGGCTGGGACCATCACGCCCAGAATGATGCCCACTGCCTGGCACGGGCAAGTTGGCCAACAGGGCAAGGCGTGGGTGCTTGGCATGGGCATGGGCCCTTGCAGTTGGGTGGGCTAGCACAAGCCCGGCCTCATGCAGGCTCTCACGGCTGGAAAGAAGAACTAACGACTCACAACCTCCACGGCTGTCTCTCGCACCTAACAATCAACGCTCAGGTGAGAACTCCTTGAGAAGGGTTATTGATCCAAGGAATTGTTCTAACCTTTCCATTTTCTTGGATCAGTCTTGATTGTCCCGGTCCCCCAGGCCACTGTACCTCAATTCTCGGGAAAGGATTAGTGTAGAGTGTGATATGAGTTCATAACACAGTTAAATATTAGCGTTGAAGATTTCTAGCGAATTATGTTTTGTATTCAGAAGTTATCACATGGATACTAATAACTCATTTTTTTCAGTACAAATGAAAAATTTGCAAACATACATCTCTAAATTAATTCTAACTTTCCATTTTAAGAAACACCAGGTTTGAAACCAAATTAAAGTATCTTGTTATCTCAAAGGGACCAATATCCTAAAATTAAGTGAAAAGTGACGGCAATTAAATATAGCACTCAGAAATTGTGGTATGAAAATCAGTATTTCAATTTTGGTAGTGTTTTCTAAAAACAAATTTGGACCATCAGAACTCCAGATTAACATATATTAAAACAACGAAATTTTTCTTCCATTTCATGAGATGAATCAGCCATTGAAAACTGATGCTGCTCACAATTATATTTTATTCAGGGAATAGTGATGAAATAGTTGAGTTAAACAGCGTCTGAATAATGTGATGCAATCAGATTTAATTTAAGCGAGGAAAAGTACAGTTCCTTGGTTTATAAGCTCCTCTTTAGCAACAAGACAAATTAATTCACTTAACTTAAACAACACTATACTATTTGGAGAATAAAACCGTGAAAAATGGCACCCACACATTGCAGTAACATTACTAACTTTCTTCTAAGAAGGATACACGAGTGTTGAACTTTTGATTCACATCAGAGTAGCTTTCTACATTAATCACATGGATACAAAATGTAGGAATGGTCTTTGAAACATTAATGACAGAGCATCTGTGAATCTTGGCATAGATACAATGCGCTGAAAATTAGAGGCCTCTAGAATACGACGTTCATGAGGTATAAACATAAATTTTGGTGAAAGAGACGCATAAAGTTACTGAGAAACATTCCGAATATAGTAAAGTATCATCGTTAAATTTAAAAATGCTAACGATTAGAACGCTTCCAAGTTTAATAAAAATTTCAGTAAAAATTCCTAATTTGCACCTATTAAGACTGAACTTACGGGGCGTCATCCTTATTACAGAATACACCATCATTGATATTTTGAAGCCGATATGAAGAAACATTTTTTAGGTACTGAATAATAATGAACGTTACTAATGAAACGTAGGTTCGATCTTGAGAGTTGTCACAGTGGACACTGTCGATGAGGGCAATGAAGATACTTCGGTGAGAAACATCAAATCCTAGGCATGTGGTATTCCACTTAACATACTGTAATGTTTTTGATTTCACCCATGCCAAAAGAAATCAACAAACTACATTTGTTTAAATTACCAGAAAAAATTGCCATCATACCTCAGGGATATGTTCAAAAGACATTGCTCATCATAAAGTTATTAACATACACAGTGGAACTGGTCAACAAAGAGAGACAGTAGAGGGCAGCGAGAGGCTAAATTCTTTAAGGTTTACTATAGTAATAGTGGGAACGTACGAAATAACATAGATAACCATAGATTAATTGAATTTACAGGAAGCACCGATATTATTGCTATAACAGAGACCTGATTCAAGCTGAAAGACAAAATGCCTTCTGAGTGCCACTTACATGGGTGTAAATTATTCCACACTGATAGGGTCATCAGGAAGGGTGGTGAGTGGCGATGTATGACAGAGGTAATTTAAACTGGTACATTAGACAACATATGAAAGTAGAATCTACTGACACTGAATCTGTTTGGCTTTAGTTTCTCGAGGGTCTTGAAAAACTAATCTTGCGTATGATTTACAGGTCCCCAAACCTTGATAGGGAACCCAGAAAACTTCTATGGGACGAAATTTACACGAAATTGCTTTAATAGATTTTAACTTTAGACAAATGGATAGGAGTTTTTTGACAAGATATTTAGAGTCCAGCAACTTTCTTGATACGATCTAAGATTTAAGAAAAAAAAAAAAAGCTTTTGAAAAAACCAACTAGAGGATATGACCTCTGCCTTGGTTATTGCCAGTCAGTAATTACTAATTAATAATCTCGAGGTTAACGATGAGCTTAGGGAAAGCGATAACAAATTACTCAGTTTCGATATATCATGGAAGTACCTTAATAATTACAATCAAGTAAATGCCTTCTGCTTGGCCGACCTCATAGCACTGAGAAATTAGCTATGTGAGGTCAACTAATGTGATCTGACTGGTCATTATCCTTTGAGTCAGGCGGTGATGGTTACCTAAAAACATTTTTCAAAGCATAGTTCAAGCTGCCCAGATTATGTTTCAAATGGAAAAATACAATCAAATGAAAATAACCCAAAAGATATGTGCGATAGATTTAAATGTGAAGATTGAGACACTTATGCACTTATGTGACATTTTTTCATTTTTCATCCAGCCCAGCACCCTACTAGGTATTGCTCAAATGCTTGTCTGGCCAGTCTGCCTCTGCTTATAGGTCAAGAGAGGAGGGCAGTTACAGGCGAATCAAAAGAGAGAGAGAGAGAGAGAGAGAGAGAGAGAGAGAGAGAGAGAGAGAGAGAGAGAGAGAGAGAGAGAGAGAGAGAGATCCCCTATTCATATTTTAAACAGAAAGATACTAGAGAAATTCCAGAAATAAAATATTATTTAGGTCAGGACGAAAATAAGTACGCATTATCAAAGTCACTAGTAACATATGCTCACACAAATACATTAAAACCAAACAAATTCTTGGGCTCTGATGAATTGTTCTCAAAAGTTATAAAGAAATGTAAGTAGCAACATGGCAAACCATTGCCGAGTCTTTTCAACATATCACTACAAACTGGCACATAGCCTGACAAGCGGAAATAACTCGAATATAGACCAATTAGCCTAACCTCTACTGTGGGAATATTGATGGAACCATTAATTGCCGAGGCTCTTCAAAGCCACCTTGAAAGACAAATTGATCAACGAATCTCAGTACGATTCTACAAAAACGTTCCTGCCTGACTCACGAAATCGTAATGACACGATTGCAAACAAACCATACCCCGGCTGGGATTGAACCCGCGGGCTGGAGTTTTGAGACTCTCTGACCGCGGGTTCAATCCCAGCCGGGGTATGGTTTGGGAACGTTCCTGCCTTACGAATTTTCTAATTTTTTTACTTAGGTATCTGAATAGGTAGATGTTAGAATATATTGTGTAAATGGACTTGTTGTGTAAATGGATTTTTATGGAGTTATACATCGGAGACTGAGGAAAGTAGAGGCTCAAGGAATGTTAGAATTTTTCTTTTCCTGGCTTGAGGCTTGAGTTGGGATTGACAAATAGGCAGCAGAGAGTTTGCTCATACTGGGAGAAATCAGAGTAGAAACGGGTCACAAGGTCACAAGCGGTGTTCCACGGGGGTCAGTGATGGGCCGTTTGTCATTCACAAACGACATAGATGATGGAATAAACAGCGACATAAGGATGTTTGCGAAGGGCATAAAATACTACAAGAAGATTTAAATTGGTGCAGAGGTCGGATAAGTGGCAGATGCAGTTAAGTAGGTTATAATTACATATATCCTGCGCTAAAGTTGCATAGATATTCAAAGCTGTACTGGAAAATAACATACCTAACCTGGTAGCCCAGGTGTCAGATGGCCATTCACAGAGGGTAGCGGTATTTTCAAACCTAATAATGTAGGAAGTTATGTCTACACCCTCTGTGAAGGGAGGTAAATTAGGTGTTGCACTATGTGCACTAGCTGTATGATGTTCAGTTACTCCTTCCTCTAATTGCTGTTGTGAAAAAGTTAACTTTTTATTTTCTAATTCAAGGCGTGCTTTCTTTACCTCACGATCTTTTTCTCTCTTCTCAACTCATTTTCTCTAGCTTTTTCCTGAAGTTTTCTATCTTTTGCTCTGTCCTCAAGTTCTCTTAATTTAGCTTGTTCCTCAAGTATTTTAGCTTGTTCCTCACGGACTTTATCTCTCTCCTAACGTTCAAGTCTATCATGCTCCTTTTTGTCTTCTCTCTCTCTCTCTTTCTAATTATCTTTCTTGGTTTTCTCTCTCTATTCTCTCTCCTTGTTCTCCTCTCTTTCGATTCTCTCTCCTTTTTCTCCTCTCTTTCTGTCTCTCTTCTCTCTCAATTCTTGCCTGGATCTTAGCTCTAATGAAAGCTTCTAAATTTTTCCCCGTTGTTCCTAACTTACTCGCAGTGTTCAACCAAAACTGGTATTCATCCATACTTGCAAGAATAACTTAAACTACCAGGGGAAAATGAAACGGGTATCAAAGAAAATGGAGGGTTCAATTCCTGCTCCGCTCAAACTGTAAATAAATAGGGTTCGATCCCTGCTTCGATTAACAGTATGTATGAATGAAAACGGACGGTTCTATGCCGGATCCGACCAAATAGTAAGTTGAATGGGGTCCCTTGACCATCCAATCTTCTCACCAACAAATCAAGAGTGTCCTACAACAGTTCCCTTGATATAATAAATAGAGCTCAATGAAACAATTTGTCACTGGAAAATCTCGGGTCCCTAGAGTCTATTCCTCCAAATCACTTCAAGCTCAAAAATAAAGGTGGCAGAATTAACTAGTATATCCTGCCTTGACTTGACTTACAATAAATTGACACTATAACAATCACCAAATTTTTTAAATACCTGTACTGTAGTCCTACCATAGAGAATGATTACTCATGGCTGGTGGTAACCGTCTGTGGGATGCAGAGTTGAAGGTCCAGTGGTAGATTATAGATGGAGTTGAATCTTGATTCGGTTGCGTAATCCTGGCAAGGTCGCCACTTGTGAAGGCTTACTCAACCCAGTAAGATCTTAAGTAGGTATTACCAAGGCTCGCTCCTCCTTAGGAGAATTAATGAATAGAAAAAGAATAATAACAAACAAATATAAACACTTTATTGTTATAATTGAAAATATAAAACATTTAAATATGAACTTTTATCCTACTTGAAAGAGAAATGAAAAATGAAATATAAAAATGATATTTGAATTCAACGCTATTTGTACAAAGTGTAAGAAAATTATGTCGATGTTGTCGACACAGCGCAATGTAGAAACTGTAGCCGTTGCTGATGATGTGTGGGGGGGAGGGGTCACAGCTGTTGAGTGACAACCCAACGACTATTCAGCCACAGTATCTCTAGCCTTGAATGATCTGTCAAGATGATAGGAATGCAGGTCTTTCACCACTGCAAAGATGAAGGGTAGTTGCCTGGGGTTGGCTACACTCAGGTACGTAGATCAAGGGTGACGTCCCAGAACTCGTGTGAAGTTCGTCTCCTTCAGCACTGTCTCTGTAGTTGCCAGATGACCCAAGCTGACAGTCCAAGCTAGAAAGAGACAAAAGTTAACCACTGCTCGATAAATCACTCTCCATGATAAGTATAAGGTACTTAAAAGAATGGTGAGGATTTAAAAGCAAGATGTTACACCTGAAAGTCAAGGCATTATGAACTAAGTTTCGGGACTGGTTAAAAGTGAAGCTTTTAACCGATATATCCACTAAAATAGGAGAAGAGGCTTTTACTTACAGTTGTGTTGGAAGCTGTGAGTCAAGTGATTATCCATTTGGTCGGAGCCCTGCACGTCACCTTTCTGGGTGGAAAAAAAGGGGGGGGGGGAGTAGTGGGTGCTAGACACTGACCCTACCTTAACAAGCAGACTGGCAATCAAGCTATCGTCACCATATATTCGCTCGCTACTCCTATCTGTTGAACTTTTCCCTCACATAGACAAATGCAAAGTTCTAATCTTTGGAAAAATATAACTGACACTTATAAATTAAATAACTGTGTGTAAGTTTTCGTTTAGTCGTTGTATACGGATCTGCACTGGCAAATTAAGAAAAAATGTTAACTGTTATATAGCTTTGTTGCAGGTAGTGGACCTGGGTCAGCCGGCAGACAGCCAAGGTAGCACGAGCGGCTGTCGCCTGCAGGAGACAGCCTGCCCTGGCGGCCACGGTGGGTGTGGCTTGCGGGGAGAGTGTGTGGGCGGGCTGGAACACCCTCATTGTGAGTGTGAACAAGGATGGTCGGGACCAGACTGTGCTACGCCCACTGTGCCCGCTTCCCTGGGCAAGTCTTCTTACATGAAGGTAGCGCTCTCGTTCAGACCGGCACCGCTGGTGTTGCGGGTTCAGTTGCGGGTCCGGACAAGAGGTAACCGCACTGGTCTTCTAGTCCATCTAGCTGCCCTCCACCGAACAGCTGCCTTCACGCTCCACGTCAGTTTCTTTCCAATGCAGTTCTTAAAATTTATTTGAATTCTTATGATATATGCGTCTTGTTGAGTCATTAATATGTTTTCCTTCAAACACAAACGTTTGAAGATCATTTATCATTAGTTTAAAGCAACTAACTCATAAAGAAGCAATAAAACAGAAAGAAATATCAAGTTGTTTTCCAGGGTACTTAAAGAATGCAAGATGGAACTTAGCCATTAACGAGTATGTTTAATACGTCCATCATTGTTGGTGCTGTGCCTGAGATGTGGAAGATGGCTAATGTGGTTTCTATATTCAAATCAGGGGATAAGTCCATTCCATTAAATTACCGTCTAATAAGCCTGACGTCTATAGCAGGCAAATTATTAGAATCAGTTATAGCTGACATTATTAGAAGTCATCTTGAAGAGCATAATTTGATTAATGAATCTCCGCATGGGTTCAAGAGAGGTCGTTCCTGCCTGACAAATTTACTGACGTTCTTCAAAAGAACATTTGAGGCAGTGGACGGTGATAAAGAATATAATATTGTTTATTTGGATTTTAGTAAAGACTTCGATAGAGTACCTCACAAGAGACTTAAGAAAAGTGGCAGCTCATGGTATAGGAGGCAAAGTTCTAGCATGTATAGAGGCATGGCTTACCAACAGAAAGCAGAGAGTTTCCATTAATGGGGTCAAATCTGAATGGGGCGTTTCACAAGGATCAGTTTTAGGCCCTCTCTTGTTCATAATTTACATTAATGACTTTAATGAAGGAATTACAAGTGACATGAGCAAATTTGCTGATGATACAAAGATAGGCCATATGATTCATTCTGAGGAGGATTCCAATGAACTCCAGGAGGATTTGGACAAATTGATGTCTTGGTCTGAAAAATGGCAGATGAAGTTCAAGGTGGATAAGTGTAAGGTACTAGTCCTTGGTAATGAAAATAACCCATGGTATTACAAACTAAGTGAAGCAGTACTTGATCATACAGAATGTGAAAAAAACTTGGGAGTCATGGTAAGCAGAAATCTAAAGCCAAGACAGCAGTGCCTAAGTGTGCGCAACGAGGCTAACAGATTACTGGGATTTATTTCAAGAAGTATAAGTAACAGAAGTCCAGAAGTTATTGTATAGCTCTATATCTCACTAGTGAGGCCTCATTTAGATTATGCCCCTCAGTTTTGGTCTCCTTACTACAGGATGGATATAGATTCAGTAGAGAACATACAAAGATGAATGACTAAAGTGATTTACTGTGTAAGGAATCTCCCGTATGAAGGTAGAATTAAAGCCTTGAATCTCCACTCTCTGGAATGACGTAGAATGAGGGGAGATATCATTGAAGTGTATAAGTGGATGATGGGCATAAACAAAGGTGATATTAATAAAGTACTGAGGGGTGTCGAACCAGGTAAGAACCAGAAATAACGGATTTAAGTTGGATAAATTTAGATTTAGAAAGGACATAGGTAAGTACTGGTTTTCTAACAGAGTTGTGGATGCGTGGAACAATCTCCCGAGTAGGGTGATAGAGGCTGGGAAGGGCTCGGTTTGATTGGTGTCATTAGGTATGAGAGGATATTCTTGGGAAGCTTCGGATAGGGGTCTTTTTTATTAGGACGTGCTTTGTATGGGATAGTAGGCCTTGTGCAGAATTCCTCCATTCTTATGTTCTTATTTTAATTTTTTTTTTTTTTGCATTAGTGTAAATAATATTAAAATTATGGATTATGTTAAAGCCGTGGGGAGACCTGATCCTCCTTTGGCTAATCATGAATGAGAAACTCGACTCTCACAGCTAGACTCTCCGTAGCTTCAATGTGACCAAGAAATTCTTTACTAATCTTCTGCTTCTTTTTTTTTTTTTTACTGTATATGGGTAGGTTTAAGCCGCATGTAAAAGGAATGGTATATTGTTATGCAAACATGCTGTATGCGTATTGTGGAGCAAACATCATCAACCTTACTAAAACGTTTGCTTGTGAATTTCAGCTACGTGCCGGTATGGCGTGTGTGTCAGTGTCTGGGGCTGGTTGGGCGTCACGGGCGGCCTGTGTGGAGGGCTACTTACTAGGTGACGGAGCCTGGCACACCGTCACGGCTGAACGTCACGGTCACAGCCTGGTGGTGATTGTCGATGATGGTGACGACTTTCGGAGGCAGGAGAGATTGGCGTGGTTAGCAGCTCCCGGAGAGGGCGAGTATGCAACAGGACCGCCCATGTCCCTGGAGGTGGATAAACACAATGGCGTGACAGTCGGAGGTTTGCCAGAGTTCGTGGGCGGCAGTCTAATCAAAGTCCACGACGATCTCCACGACAGTAATTGACACGTTTTATTGTCCCAAGAGGGACACTTCTAATCAATATATGGCATATACTCTCATTTGAGCATTTTTTCATTCATCATTTACTTTACTGAAACCCACTTGAGTAACGTACATATATGCCCCCCCCCTACATTGTTTTCATTCACTGTATGTGTATTTTTATAAGGATGGATCCTCGAGCTCTGCGCTGAAGACCCACACGGGATTTAGCGCTTCACAAAAATATCATTATAATAATAATGTCTCTATAACTAGCATGCCTGGACGACTTGCGAGTGTCCGGGGTATCGCTGCCTTTGGCTCCAGCTGTTAACAGCACCAGCTGGGGCCAGGTAACCTCTGTTGAGCGTCTGGAATCGGGATGTTACTCAACTGATGTTTGTGTTAATTCGACCTGCTCTGCTCCTCTCACTTGTTACACTGCGTGGGACCAACCTACCTGCAGGTCAGTGTTTTCCAAACCACTTAAATCCAGCCTTCTAGCAGGTCAGTGCCACATTACCTGGGGTACCCCTTATCTGCAGGTCTGAGCCATATAAATAAGAACAGGTTGCTAGCATTTGTTTCTTCTGTCATACTTTATTAGGCTCTTGTCCAACTGCCTATCAGTGCCAAGCTTTCAAGCCGTTTATAAAAATGTGTAAAAAGATAACCACCAAGTCGTTTGTGGATCAGATCCAGGGCAGATTAATACTGCTTCATCAGCTAAACAGAATGGGTGGGGATCGAACCAATGGCAGCGGAGTACTAAAACTCCCAAGTCAGTGCCCTAACTACTGAGCCAGTCACAGGGTCGAGTTCCACCCATTTGGTGATTTGTCTCCAAGCATGATTTCGTGAGTGAGAAGCATATCTTGTGTTGTGAAATACTTGTAGTATGGTGTCCCTGCTGAAAATATGGTGAGAATAATGGGAACCCAGAGAACGGGGAAAAAAAGGGGCTATTATTCCATCTTAGATTTCATAAAGGAAAGAATGTACAGCCTAATGAATATACATGTAAGTAATATGAATAGTTTTGCATGTGTTGTTATATAATTGTAATCGATATTCGTTTATGCGAACGTATCACAATTTATTTTAATATGTTAATTTACTACGTAAATTCTGATCATTTAATGCACATCTTACATATATTATTAATCTATGAAAGCTGATCACTAATATATATTTTGATGAAAATTTAGACACATGTGAAACATCTGGGTATCTTTATTGTAGAAGTATCGCCATCCAGTGGCTTTATCAATACAAATACAAGGACATAAATGATAGTGTATACCATTCATACAGAAAACGTTTCGGTCCAGAGACCTTGATCACTTCTAGCATACAGAGGTTTAAAGAGAGTATATATAGGAGGAGAGTGAGGTGTGAGTGACGCATGGTGACCTGAAGAATGCCATGTTGAGATGAGGACGGGTAGATGATGAGATCATGTGACTCCTGTGTTGCTGGGTAGATGGTGCCTTTGCTGGTTGAGTATAATGTATGATAATGTTTTAGAATTTTTTTGCTTTCCAGTGTTACGTTCTATTGTGTAGCTGACGGCGATTAGCGAGGCTTCTAGACACCGTCGGCGTCTAAGGTCTTGTTCGGTGAGAATGAATTGTGCCTCATCCCAGTTCATCAAATGCCCCGTGGAGTCTCTGTGGAGGACGCAGGCATACCTTAAGCTGTCTTTGTTACTGGCACTTCGATGCTCGTTCAGGCGGACCACAAGATCTCTGCCTGTTTCACGTACATATTTCTTGGAACAGAATCCACAGGGAGTGGTGTAGACCCCTGCTGTGGAAGTTAGAGGTGTTGGGCTGCGTTTTATAGTGACGTCTTTGACCTGTCACTCTTAGCAAGTGCTCGGCGAGTATTCGTGGCAACATCACCACATGAGAGCACTGTGAAATACTTAGAAGACTGTTCCATGAGCGGTTTGTTGAGGATAGCTTGTGTCTTGAGTCTGCAATCCCAGATGAAGAAAGATAGAAACTGAAGACGTGTAAAGGCTTGTGTTATGTAGATATATTCTTCGAGAAAACAAGGGCTGGAGATGCGACGAGCTCTCAAGAAGTCAGTGAGGATTCCTCTTTTAGTGCGGATATCTTGGTGTGAATAGAAGTGTATAAGATCGTTCGTGTTGGTAGGTTTTCTATACACTTTGAAGAGAAGTTTGTCACTGTCGGGAGATCTGCACAGGAGGACGTCATCTTTTCAAGTTCAAGTGCAAACTTTATTGATGGTTCGGCTGTATTGATCTTGTTGAGAAGGGCCTGGATATTGAGACGTCTCGGATAGAAAACCAATATATCATCAACGTATTTTAGCCAGGTAACGGTGTTGGGAATGAGGCTGCTGAATTTCTGTCTCTAGGTTTTCCATGAAGAGGTTGGCAAGCACAGCACTAAGCGGGCTGCCCATTGCTGTCCCAAAACACTGTTTGTAACAGTTGTCCTGATACTTGAAGAAGTTGAAATTAACACAGAGATCCACTACACTGATGAAATCTAGAAGAGGTAAATGAAGGTCGTGGTTTTCAGTGAGTCTCTGTCTCAGAATGTTTATTGCAGCGTCAGTAGGAACGATGGTAAAGAGGGCTCTGATATCGAAGGAAGCCATGCTTTTGTTTTTAGCATTCAGGTTGGAAATTCGAGACAGAAGGTCACCTGAGTGTTTGAGGTGGGCTTGACTGATGGTACCCAAAAGTACTAAAAGGTATTTATTAAGGTGGCCAGCTAATCTGTGTGGTGCACTCCCTGTGCCCGAAGTGATAGGACGCAGTGGGATGCCAGGCTTATGAGTCTTAGGAAGGCCATACAGGAGTGCTGATTTCGGTTGACCTGGTAAAAGTTTAAATAGTTTCTTGCCTTGTTCTGATTTTCGTAAGATGCTTCGAGCCTTTTAAAGAAAAGTTTGGGTGCTTTGAAGTAACGCTAATTCTGAAACAGGCTGGTATGTGTTGGCATCGCTGAGGAGATTTAAAACTTCATTGTTGTAAATTACAGTGTTGAGTAACACTTTGCCTCCTTCTTTGTGAGAGGTGGTAATGATGATATCATTATTGTTAGCCAAGTCCCTGAGTGCTTGGATGTATCTTCTGGGAATGACCGGTCTTGAAGGCTCAGTAGCTGCAGCAGTAATAATTCCTTAATTGAAACTCTTATGAAACTCGGAGTCCCCAAAAGGATTTTTGTTTTTTATCATGTCCACCAGATGATGTTTCTTGTTGATTCCGGTAGTGAACCTGACCCCTAGGCTGAGGGCTTCTGTTTCGGTGGCGGTTAGTGTATACGAAGATAAGTTATATATGATTTCTGGTCGTCCCATTTCGCTCCATTTGCTGTGGGAGCAGTGCCGATGAACTGCGATATGCTCAGATGGAGGCCTCATTACGTACCGCTCAGATTTGTGCTTCACTTTCCACTCCTGACAGAAGAACGGCAGAATATATACTCAGCCAAACTACCACTGCGAACATCCAACAAAAACTGAAGCTATCACGAAAACTACAAGACCTGTGCTCCCACAGCAAATGGAGCGAAATGGGACGACCAGAAATCGTGAATAACTTATCTTCCTTTACACTAACCGCCACGGAGACAGAAGCCCTCAGCCTAGGGCTGAGAGTTTGTCTCTTTTGTACTTCTGTCTTCTGTATTAAATATCAAAGTTAAGTTTCCACAACGTTCATTTTCTGCGTATGAAAATGCTTTTAGAGAAAATGGGCATTATATTAACATCCGTTTTCCTTTATTTCATTTTGACGATGTTTATTTGGTGTAAATATGTATTTAAAATGTTTACACACACACAAAGGCTCCGTACATAGCTTTAAGAAGAGGTATGATAAAGCTCATGGAGCAGTGAGAGTGACCTAGTAGCGACCAGTGAAGAGGCGGGGCCAAGAGCTGTGAATCGACCCCTGCAACCACAATTAGTTGAGTACACACGCTTAGCTAATTATGGCAGAGCTGCGAATTGCTTTGTGTATATAGGTGGTTATGGTTATTTAATGGTAAACAAGAACGTGTAATCACTCTATGTATTGGCTTTTTGTTAATTCCAGTGATAATCCAGCTCTTTAATCCCAGTGACACTCCACCAATACTAGAAGAAAAAATAGATACCTTAATTTATGTAGATATTTTCGTATTAGTTGTGTTTCATCACAAAGTCATAAATGAATAATTTAGAATGTATACATCCCTAGTTGTGGACCCGGCCACCAGCGAGTTGGTCGTGCTTGTAAAGACATAGACGAATGCTTGTGGAACCCTTGTCTACACGGAGGCTCCTGTTACAATCTGCGACCCGGGTACACCTGCGTCTGCGATCCCAACCATATAGGCCCCAACTGTCAGTGGACGAAACTAGATTCCGTGGGACACTCTCTCACAGCCCCGGCAGCTATAGCCGCACTTTCACTCTTCGTCCTCATCTTAGGTACGTGATTACTTGAGTCAGAACAGCAAATCCAAGTGACAGTGACATAATTAAACAGCAGCTTGCAGCAATCTATTTACCATGCTTTTTTTTTTGCCAGTGGTGCTCGGAATTATTTTCTCCAGACGCCTGCAGTGCCTACGCACCACACAGGCGTTGAATGTGGGCGTAGACGTGCCCACGGATGATGCAAGACAGAATATCGTTAGCATGAAGGGATCAGTCAAGGAGAACAAGAGTTCGATGACGCAGAAAGGTGCAATTCCCGACACTTTGCTGGAGCTGCTCAAAGTTAAGATGGAGTGCCATCAGCCCAATCAGCAGAGGGAAGGTAAATGAATCTGCTTAGCCTACTTATTCCTATTTAATTATCATTACTAATTATTTTTCCCTTGTGCACTGGGCTAAACAGGGGTTTGATTTCTGCTCCGTTCAAGCAATTAGTGAGGAAGGGAAGACTTCCAGGGACCCCATGATGGATTCCTGCGTACATGAACCTGGGGAAGGAGAGGATACAAATTGTTGAGGCTAACCTTGGGGAAGTGGGAAAAGCAGAATATCTGAAGGAACACAAATGGACATGAATCTGGGGAAAACAACAAAAATGCAGTAAAAGGGTTGGTGAACCTTCAAGTGGAGTTTTACTGACTTGGTCTGCGTATATTAGTGATGCACACCCACCAAACAATCTCAGTGATACTGGCCCACCAGTCAAGCCTTGAGAAACAGGTCTATGTATTTAAGTGTGGATTGACGGCCAGGTCTGTTTTTCAGTGACGCTGGCCTATAAAAGGTCTTTGTATCTTACTGATCCTTGCCCGTCAGTGTATCTCAATGATATATAATCATTAAACCACTTTTAGTTAAAGGTCTCAATCACTGGTTTAGTACTGTAAGGAAAGAGTATGATCGTATCACTGAACTCCACAAATATCTGATAATGACCATACCACGGGTAGGGGTTTACGCGCTAGGCTGGAGTTTTACGACTCACTCGCCACGAGTTCAATTCCCGCCCGTGGTATAGTTTGTTTGCAATTGTATCATTTCGATTTCGTGAGTCATCTGATACTGAACTGCTTTTAAAAAATTATGTGTTCTACTGGAGTATTCAGAAAATTTTTCTCGATATTATCAACTGCTTAAAAGTAGTCAAGTTGCACTCTGAAATTAATTTATTATAATCCAGTCTCATCTTGTATTCTTTGCTGTAGCTTTCTGTACTTCTGACTGCATTTTTTTTTGGATTAACGGAGAAAGCATCAAGGACAGTGTCAAAACGGAAAATACTACACTTAATATTAAATTGTTAGTATATAATAAATAATTCATCTGAAAGCATTAACCCACGTCTCAGACATCAAATATTTTATGCATTAACATGAAAGAAAATACTTCGTATTTTTTTCAAGAAACTAACGTTATGTTTTATCTTAAGCCACAATTTCGAAATGTGTTTCCCTATCAGAGATGAAAGACTTATGTTACTAGAATCTTTTTGCTTTTCAAGCCTGACTTGCTGATTCAGCTCATTTTGTATGTACGTATTACTTTTCCAAACAAAGTACGTAAACGAATTTTTATAGACTTTCCCTCAGTTTGTTTATGTAGGTAATATTGCTTATGAATAGAATTTTATCGTATTGAAGCATGATACTGAGGATTAATACTTAGTTTAAAAGCATCTTTAGAATATAATACTAAATTAACTAGGAAAGTGTAACTCTTTCTAGTTTTGGTAGAATTAACTCCTATTGCTTTCTCGTAAGAGATCTTATGTGCAATGATAGGTGAGTGTGGAGCCAAGGAGGTGAGTGGACGCGTCGTGGGAAGTCAGTCGTGTCCAGAGCAGCAACAGCCGTCCCTAGATACGCAGTTGACGTGTCAAGAACCACGGCTTATGTCAGGGGAAAACCTTAGAACATTTGCTTACGAGGGCGACGGCTCCTCGTCTGGTTCCCTCACATCAGCAATATCAGGTATGTGTGAAGCGGATTTAAGAACGCCACTGAATGAATATAATTTGAGACATTCGTAGAGTTCATTGTGCTCAAATCCACCACAATCTTGGTGGTTTACTACGGTCTTGCTTGAGAGTGCGCAATGGTCTTGACGGGTGTGTGAGAGTGCTCAATGATCTTGACGGGTGTGAGAGTGCACAGTGGTCATGGCGGTTGTGTGAGAGTACACAGTGGTTGTGAAGCGTGAGTTTAGGTGCATAAAGCCAGTGTCAAATGTGTGAGGATACAAAACAGTTGTTACAGGTGTGCATGAGTGAAAAAATTGTCGTAATTTCTGTGAGTGTACAGTTGTCGTGTCAGGTGGAGGAGAGTGATAGTGGTCAAGTCACTTTTATAAGAGTGCACTTTTGTTGGGATGGCACTAAGTTCGTGACAGGTGTGTATGGATCCTGCCTGCACCACATCATTATCCAGAGTATTCCACCTCCTGACAAATCTATGACTGTAGTAATACTTCCTAATATCCCTGTTAGGAAGTATTACTTAGTGGCCCTTCTGACCACCTCAGCTAGTGTGTCCACCATTGATCTGTTGCTCTCATCATATTCTTTTTTTGGCCTATTGCTATTCTGTGGAGGGTTGTACATTACTGCAATCACCACCGTGGGTTCCCCAGTCTGAATTGTTATTACTATGTAGTCCCTTGCTTCTTTTCTGTCCATTCCTTCTATTTCCTCAAATTTCCATCGTTTTTTAATGAGCAGTGCAACTTCATCCCCTCTGCTCCATCTATCTTTCCTCATGATCTGATATCCGGATGGAAAGATCACATCTGTTATCATCCCTGTGAGCTTCGTTTCCGTGAATGCTAAAATGTTTGGGGATGTGTCCATGATTATTTAATGCAACTCTTCACATTTATTTGTTAATCCGTCTGTGTTCGTGATGGGTGTAGGGGAGTGTATGGTGGTCACTACGTGTGTGTGAGAGTGAACAATTCTGGTGATGGGTGTAGGAGAGTGCATGGTGGTCACGACGTGTGTGTGAGAGTGCACAATTCTGGTGATGAGTGTAGGAGAGTGTATGGTAGTCACGACGCGTGTGTGAGAGTGCACAATCATCGTGATGTATTTGTTTGTAACTGTATTAATTTACTAAAAAAAATTATTCAATGATTTTTTCTTCACTTCCTTCTCGAAACTTTAGCTGAAATTCCCTTGTTTTCCTCTGTCAATTATCGTTATCGTACCTACTCATATCATTCATCACGGCTTTTTTAATACTGCAAGGTTTTTAGTTTTTTTTTTCTGTATCTGCTATTCCTTCTCTCAATACGAATGTTCCTCCCTCACGTCATCATCTTTCCTTTCACTACAAACTTTTATTCCTTCCACCACCATCATTTACACAAACTACATTTCTTCGTCTCACTCTCCACCATCCTTCATCCCGATCATCCTGAGACGTCACACATCATACAGTTCGTTATTTACCCCTGAAAACTTTTTAATCCCCTGGCAGTGTTGCGTGCAGAACTGGAGACGGAGGCGAGCATCCAGCCACTAGTTCCAGAATTCTCCGAAGTGATCGATCTCCTCAGGAATCTGCCCGAGGCACCACGAAGTACTTCCTCCTTAGCTAAGATCAGCAACACGAAGTCTACGTCCTCCGAGCAGCGAAAGCTTGTGACTAAAGCAAGAAAGGACGATCATACCTCCGATGAGATCACAGCTACGTCACTCAACCAAACCCACGTTATTGTCATGGCCCCTTAGACATCGAGTAACAAGGAAGAGGATTCAAGCCTGACCATGGTGTTCCGTGGCATGGTAATCAACGCTCTCGTCTCACACACTAAGTGTCCGTGGTTCAATCCCCGGCCGGGTGGATACACTGGGCGTGTATCCTTGCACCTGCTGTCCCCGCTCACCGAGCAAGCAAGTAGGTGTGGGACGCATCCTGGGGGACAAGACTGAAGGACCCCAATGGAAATAAGACTGACTTTCTTGGGTTATCCTGGGTGGCTAACCCTCCGGTGTTAAAAATCTTATCTTATCTTCCTACGATAGGAGGCTATGCTCTCCAATCCGGTCTGAGAGGTTAAAGGTGCTTGCGGAGGATCGAGCCTCCGCCTTTTCCACCTATAGAAGCATTTATCACTCACCGTAAATGAACTGTTATTCTAGCGTCTCTGGTCAGAGTGACCTGGGATCAGTTCTTTGTTGGAAGTCATGTTTCGTGGAATAATAATCAGACACACGTCGATAATTATTCTTTAATTTTTATAGTAATTAATATTTAAATGTAATATGAAACAGTAGACAATATAGAAACGAATAGAAGAACTTTTGTAAACTGAGTAAGGACTAATGTACAGCTCCTGGCCTTCCCTTGACAGTACGTGATGAATATTATCCTTTATCCCTATCTGACCAGCATCTTATCAACACAAATAACTATCATGATGGTGTCACTGGTGGTGCCACAGGTTGTGTTACTGGTGGTGCTATCAGTGGTGTCACCAATAGTGTCACCAGTGGTGTCACTGGTTGTGTTACTGGTGGCACTACTAGTGATGTCGCTGGTGGTGACACTGGCTATGTCACTGGTGGAGTTATCAGTGGCGTCACTGGTGGTGTCTCCAGTTTCACTGTTAGTGTCACTGGTGGTGTTTCCAGTTTCACTGTTAGTGTCACTGGTGGTGTTACTGTAGATATTAGTAGTGGTGTTACTGGTTGCATCATTGTCACTACCCGTAACACTACCACTGAAGGTGTTACTGGTGGTGTCACTGTTAATGTCATCCGTGGTGTTAGTGGTATCACTGATGGTATCATTAGTACTCACTTGATGGTAACGTTATAAGGCCAATATGGAGGCTTCTGTGACCTGACTATCGTCACTCTCAGATAAGAATAATCGTCAATGCTCCATATTGTCTCTGCATTTAGCAGTTGGACTGTAGTATATTTATTTCAAGTGTACTTATATGTTTTATATATTTATATACATCTCATATTAAAAGTATTTATATATATACATATATATATTATATATACATTATATAAATATATTTTTTCTATACTAATTAGAACGTGATGGTTATATTAATGTTGACACAGAAGGCAATATTCTTGTTGAATAAATGTTCCTAAACAATTGCCTTTGATTTGCCTGTAACCATAACTTAGTTTACCTCATGATAATTTTACTACGTATGAGTTTAGCATCCTATATCCTACGATAATGTTACTATGATAGACTCTTGTAGGGAATATTTAGCAAGGTACTGGAAACCATTCTTATTTTCTAGCACCATCTCAGGAGGACTTACGAAGCTTCTCGTATTTATTGCTCTCGACTCGTTGCTTTATTTGTTATTTGAACATAGTAAGTAGAATATTGCAATTAATTTAGTGTGATGGCAGCACATTATTATTATTATAATAAAGGGGGAAGCGCTAAACCCGGAGGATTATACAGCGCCTGGGGGGGGGGATGTGGAAGGCATTCAGGCTTAATTCGGGGAACTGGAGCACAGATCCAATTCCCTAAATCAAGAGCCCCTCGCCAACATCAAGGAACTTTCCTTGAGTGTGATGGCAGCACAGAGAAAAACCGGCAGTGAGAATACGGCAACACTTCAACAACTAGAAAATTTATGATAGAGACTTGTGCACTTATAATGCAGAAAATTATGACATTCTTTTGCGTAAATTAGGTCTACAAATTAGGTCTAGTTTACGCAAGTAGGGTAGTGGTCTTTCATGTGAAGCTAGAAATACACATTACTGGCAAATGGGGAAAGCTTAGAAGACACAAACTGTCCAATTATTACTCAGGTTCAAGTCGACAGCTTTTAGATACAACTTGTTAGCAACACGGTAAATCGTAAACGATGTCTTTTTTGCATGTGTGACACTCTATTACTCTTATCTACGTAGGTCCTTCTATCAGGGGCACAGTCGTACAAATAATTGCAAAATTCTTTTAAGAAAACTTTTCAGCCATTCATCAGGCTTTTCAACTTCGTGAAAAGAAGAGTAAAGAACATATAGAAGAACACTGCAGTCGGCCTGATCCACGATGTGAAAACTCGTCGTTAAGGGATGAGCTACAAAACAAAGCCATTACATCTGCAGGTAATGGAGGAGGAGCAGTAATTCTAAATACAACTAACCTCAAATGTTAATCTGTGAGATGGCGACAAACTACGTTTATCTCCATCCCACAGAAAGAAATGAGCAAATTACCTTCAAACTTTTAGTGTAAAGCCTGGCAGATCATAAATCGTTTAGTAGAAGGAAAGAAACTTAAACATCTTATAACCAACCAACCAAAAACCTGCGTGAATTTGCGATCTCTCGTAAACACTCATGCCTATTATCCCATTAAGGTTTATTATATTCAACATTGGACGTGTCTCACATAAATTAACAAGTGTATTTTCCAAATCCTTATCAGAACTTTTACGTTCCATTAGTGTTTCACAGCTGAACCATTCTAGTGATATTATCTCACTACTGCAACTGATCAGTGTTACAAGCATGAAACTAACCAGTAGGCTTCTTCAGTCAAATACAGAAGGAGCAGGTGTAGTAGTGAAATAAAGATAATGTAATCAGTCCATCAACCTTGGAGAAAATGTATTTGAGGTGGTTAGTCCCTCAGCCTCGAGAAGAGTTTAGCTCGTCTGGAACAATATGAAGCTGAAGCATGAGGATGGAGTCTTAGTACTGTCGAAGGTGAATTGGAAGATCTCGAAGATGTTGCAGGGGACAGGATTCACTAAGAAGGCAGGTCCCTCTTGAATCCAACCCTTCTCACTCCTAGCTAGTAGATATACGATGAAGAGTGAAAGATGTCCTCTGTACTTAGATACTGTTGTGCTGCAGTGTCTGACAGTTATGTTGAAAAAAGTATAAAATACCATTTGAGTGAAGGAGCCTACGCACTGTGTAGACGAAACGTTTGATCAATAAAGATATCCAACTGATACGTATATGTCTTAATCTTCAACTTGTCGGTATTTTATATTATTTTCAACATAAAACTAATAAGTTTGAGGTGGTATAACTACTCACAAATTTACCCACTTTGCAAGTCATCGATATGTAAGATTAAAAATAGATGATTTCCAACTTCCGTTTTTCAAGCACATGTATCATATACCGCGTTTTCCGGCATATAAGGCGCACACGCATATAAGATTCACCCCAGTATCGGCATGCATATTCTGGGAATAATAAAAAACAACTCTTTCCCTGACCTTCATAACCCTTCCCACTATCAAGTCAATTTAAAGCTTATCTATTCAAATCGATACTAAACCTCACTATTTTCTTGCTCTTCATAGCCCTCCAAGCTATCAGATTGTTCTACGATCCTTGGTATTGGATGTCACGTACGATTTTCTTCGTTGGAGTGGTCCAAAATGCCTTGCTGCAGCTCGGTTCCCACTTTCCTTTTCAAATTTTATTACTTATGGTTTATAACCGATTGTGTAGGCATGCCTTCTCTTTGATTCCATTATAATAGGGTATTGGTAATCTGAAAATTGAAAGCTTGAATAACTGTTCAATCAACAGCACAATGTTTGTCAAAGAAATGGACAGAGCTATCATACGATAAGTCTGTAATCATATTCATTCTTAGACAGATATGTATACTATTTTGTATGCTACATATGCCCCTTTTAGTAAAACAAATATTCCACTGCATATTAAACAGTTTTACAGAGATGAAATGTTCGTTTACACTAAGTGTCAGCTGCTTGCCGGCGCCATGTTTCTCAGCAGTTCTAACGTAACATTAGTAAACAACTACTCTGGAGTTTCTTAATTTCCACAACTTATGCATCCCTCCTTTCTTTCGTTTTATATTGTCTTCGTCATGATAAACAGAAAATTCCCAGTTACTAACTTTGAAATTTCGTTATATGACTGTTGTAACTGTGGAGTCTAACTTCTTGTAAAAGCGACCACCAGTTTGTGCTGATATCTTCGGTAACGACTTGTTATTCATGCTTTTGCTGAAGTGGTATTTTATAATTCTAAAGAAAGTACTACTGGTATGTATTGTTTCTACCGAAAATTCCATTTGCCAGTAACCCAAAGGCTACCGTTGTTTCTGACCCTCAGCATATAAGGCGCAGGGTTATTTCTAAGGCTTTTTTTTTAGCACGCTTTTTATGCCGGAAAATACAATAATTAGTTGAAATGTGTATCAAGTTTATTTGCTTCATTTTTGATGGCACATACTACAAATAATTGTATGGACTAGATATGAGCTCACCATTAAACACTCTTACGGATCACAGCCATAACTTGATACACAACAAGAGAACATAGATTAGATATGTTGATGATAACCTAATCGTCGTTGCTGAACGACACGACAATGTGGACATTAAAAAAAGAAACTCAAAAGCATTTCCAGAAACGGTAGCAGAGCAATGTTCCCCACTGGTACAGTCGCTTCCAACATCACAAGAATGTTAAGCCAAGCCGATATTAAGGTAAGTGTCTCGTATTATTATTATTTTTTTAAATTATTATATTATTATTATTCATTGGGGAGCACTTAACCCGTAAAGGTATTACAGCACCTAAGGAATGGGAGATAATCAGGTTCGATAGAGGGAAGGGGAGAGTCAGGTCCAATTCTTTGGCTCAAGAGCCTCTTCTCAACGTCAAGGAATATGCCTCACAAATATGCCCTTCCATTTTCTTTGAATGTAAAGATTTTCTTAGAAAAAACGTTTATCATTCTCAAAATTATTTAATGCCTTGACAGTCTTAATAATAATGATAATGTTTTATTTCAGCATGATACAGTGTCTGTACAAAGGTGAATGGCATTCTGGTGTACATGCACAAAACCCATATAATCAACACTCAATATTTAATACTACCAATAATTCTCCCAATTACTTAAATCTTAAAACTTCAAGACAACATACAGTAAATTGATCAACTTGTTTGTTATACATTGTAATGCGACAAATTTGTACAACTATAATGCTTCAGTATCGAAATGTTCAAATTTCATTGTTTCAAATACTCAGTTGTACTTCTTATTGTAAATTGCTTACGGTAATTTTTACCACTGAACCATCATTGCTTGTTAATTGTAAGTTAATTTTAAGCCTGCCCATAATGCTCTCCATACAAAGGGCTTTTGTCATGTACACCCAACTACTATAATTCCTTGTACAACTATGTATCATGTCCAAATAAACTATATGAATATGAATATGAATACTGTATATGCAGAGCATTTTGGGCAAACATTAGATTAATAACGCACTAACAGTATTAACAATTTTATATATACAAAATCAATAAAACGGAATCAGAACCCCTGCCGATAGCATGTGGAGTTCCCCAAGGTAGTATTCTGGGTCATTTATTATTTCTGTGTTATGCCCATGCAATGTCAAGTGCAAATTCTTATTGTACGTGGATGACAGTGCTCTGTTAGTGTCAGGTAAAGACCCACAAGATATAGCTAATGTAAAAACACTGGAACTGGAGTCCTGCAGCAAATGGTTAGTAGGCAACAAACTATCGTTACACCTCAGGTAAACAGACACCATACTCTTTGGCACGAAACATAAACTGAGAAGGGTAAATAATTTTAATGTTCAGTGTAATGGGGAACCCATCACTTCAGTTTCCTCAGTAAAATATCTGGGAATCTCCTTTGACTCATGTATGTCAGGAGAACTGATATGCCTTATACAATATCATATGGACTACGTATGCTCTTCATGTTACTCTGGCTTGACAAAAAAAAACTGAAAGGTAGACTGCAAATCACCTACAACAAAATGAGGAAATTTATCCTGGACCTGGGTCCAAGATAACATGTAGGCCAGGAAGAATTACAACAATTGGATATGCTGAATGTTGAAGACAGAGTAAAACAACTGAAGTTAAATCAAGTTTATAAAATTGCTCACAGTGTCCAGAATATCTTACTGCCAATTTTGTCAAGGCTGGGAACCGAAG